GGGGTGGAGCTAGTTGGCCGACCCGACCAAAAGAGACAATGTGATAACCTTGGGTCGGTTTTGCTTTGATTTGAAAGATATTTGACAGTTCATTTTGAGAACCGGTATTTTTTTCACGTGTAGTGGGTTATGCCGCGTCTGCCAGTTAAATTCTCAGGTCCGTAGCTGCAATATTACTATCAAAAGACTTGCTGGAACCAACTGCGTTCCGAGTCATCTTGACACGCGTTCACGGTTTTCTGTACTTAACTCGAGATTTCGAGAGCTACAGAGCTGATACTTACAGAAACCGATTCAGAATGATCAGGCGCGTTCGCCTGTTGCATCCAGAGGCCTGAACTCGGTCTGCTACTCGAGCTAGGTCCGTAAAAGTCATCTTCACCAGTGATGCCGGTTTTCTGTACTCAACTCAAGATTCAGAGGAGCTGCAGACCTGGTACGCACATAAACTGATTCAGTATCACCAGGCGCTTGCGTCTGTTGCATCGAGAGGCCTGAACTCGTTCTGCTAGTCGAGCTAGGTCCACAACGCTATTCGTATTTCTCAAGTTCTCTTTAGAGGCGCTGTCGGTATTCTGCACATAACTCTAGCTGTAGCACAGCTACAGAGGTGGTACGCACAGAAACCGATACAGAATCATCAAGGGCGTTTGGCTGAAGCATCTAGAGCTCTGAACAGAGTCTGCTTCTCGAGCTAAGTCCGCAAAACTATTTGTATGCGATCGATTTTTTAGAGTTTTTGGCTCTCGCTTAAGCTTGCTTCACGTGTTCCGAGGAGCTGGGCAAGAAAAGAGCTCTACGAGGTCCCCGGCGGTAACCAGGTTGACGGTTTACCGCCGGCGCCCAGTTATTGCTGGAAGCTTAAGAGTAATTCCGGCGCGCTGGAGAGCTAGTTGGCAAGAAAAATCTCGACGGACCTTTTGCTGACTTTTGGTCAGTTGAAAATTTTGTTCTCAAAATTTGACAATTCGTTAGAGCTCTAGTATTTTTTCCCATGATATTCGATCTTATTCCCGCTCGCCATCTTGATCTCAGCTCGATCGGGTAACTTTCAAGGCCAAAAAGCAGGCAGGCGGGAACGACCGTTTCGAGTCATCTTGATACGCGCTGTCGGTTTTCTCAAGATAACTCGAGCTTCAGGACAACTACAGAGCTGGTCAGCACAGCTAATGCATTCAGAATGATCAGGCGCGTTCGCCTGTTGAATCCAGAGGTCTGAACTCGGTCTGCTAGCCGAGCTAGGGTCGCAAACCTATTCGTATTATTCGAGTCATTGTAGCAGACGCTCTCGGTTTTTCGTACTTAACTCGATCTGTAGGGCAGCCACAGAGCTGATAATCACAGAAATCGATTGAGAATTATCAGGCGCGTTCGTCTGTTGAATCAAGAGCTCTGAACTCGGCCTGCTTCCCGAGCTAGGTTCGCGAACCTATTGGTATTGTTCGAGTCATCTTGAGAAGTGCTCTCGGTTTTCTGTACTTAAATCGTGCTGGGGGAGGGCTACAGTGCTGTTGGTCACAGGAATCGATTTCGAGACATCAGGCGCGTCCGTTCGTCGAACCGAGAGCTCGGAACTCGGTCTGCTGCTCGAACGAGATCCGCGAAACTGTTGTATTATTCGAGTCATCCTAGAGGTACTCTCGGTTTTCTGCACTTAACTCAGGCTGTATGGGGGGCTGCAGAGCTGGTAATCACAGGAATCGTTCCGCAGACATCAGACGCGTCCGCCTGTCGCATTCAGAGGTCTCAACTCGGTTTCATACTGAAGCTCGATTGGAAAACTGTTCGTTCGTTTTGTTAGAGTCATCTTGAGAGGTCTATAATCGCTTGGGCTGAAGAACTAGTCGTTCTCTGAAATTCTTTTCCACATTATATATTGTCAGGAAGCTCTACGAGTCCCCCGGCGGTAAGAAAGGTTGACGGTTTACCGCCGGCGCCCAGTTGCCGCTACGTACAGAATCTGATTCAGAATCATCAGCGGCCGTTGTCTATTGAATGCAGAGCTCTGAACTCGGCCTGCGGCCCGATCTCGAATCGCGAAACTATTCGTATTGTTCGAGTCACTTGCGAGATACTGTCGGTTCTCTGCACTTAACTCGGGCTGTAGGGGGGCTGCATGGCTGGTAACAACTGGAATCGATTCGAAGACATCAGGCGCGTTCGTCTGCGAAATCCAGAGCTCCGACCTCGGTCTGTTGCCCGAACTAGGTTCGCGAAACTATTCGTATTGTTGCTGTCGATTTACGCACGTTATTTGGGCTGTAGGAGAGCTCCAGAGCTCGTGCAGAAGACAATCTATGGGCGACGCTTGTCTTTTGCATCCGAGAGGTTCAAATTGCCTGGGCTGAAAAATTATGTTGTTCTGTGTAATGTCTTTCAACATTATATGTTATCAGGAAGCTCTACGAGTCTCCCGGCGGTGAGAAAGGTTGACGGTTTACCGCCGGCGCCCAGTGTGACAACTTTTGGGTGGTTTTGCGAAAAATTGAAAGATACTTGACCATTTATGTTGAAAAAGCAAATTTTTACGCCGAGCATTGGCATATGAACTCCTCTCTGACAGCAGCTTAGCTCTCTCGATGCATTTTTGCATGAGCTGACTTCCGGGAACTGAGCGAATATGAACATCGAAAAAATCGAATTTCAAGATCTTCGAATAATCTTCATTTTTTGATTCTGCGTCGATTCTCTGCACTCTCACTAGTGAGAGGAGCTCTACGAGGTTCCCGGCGGTGACCAGGTTGACGGTTCACCGCCGGCGCCAGTACCTCGTAGAGCTAGAGGGATCCCGGCGCGGGTTGGAATAGTTGGTCGACCCGGCCAGAAAGGACAAAGTGATAACTTTTGGGTGGTTTTGTAATTTTTTGAAAGATATTTGATAATTCACTTTGAGAAAGCATATTTCTCGCACCTGTAAACGACTATGAGGGCCTCTCTGTCTCAGTATGAGCTACGTAGGCGCATTTTTTCTATCAAAACACTTGGGCCATCTTCATGTCGACGGGCAAAAAACAATTTTTCCCCTTTTCGAGAAATGCTCTCAGAAGCTCTCCCTTTCGAATCTTTGCACTCTTACGCGTGATAGGAGCTCTACGAGGTTCCCGGCGGTGGCCAGGTTGACGGTTCACCGCCGGCGCCATTCCGGGGCGCTGGAGAGCTAGTTGGCAAGAAAAATCTCGACGGACCTTTTGGTGACTTTTGGGCGGTTGAAGAATTTGTTCTCGGAATTCAGCAATTCGTTAGAGCTCTAGTATCTTTTCCCGTGATATTCGATCTCATTCCCGCTCGCCATCTTGATCTCAGCTCGATCGGGTACCTTTTACTGCCAAAAAGCACTCCGGCGGGATCGGCTGTTCGAGTCATCTTGATACGCGGTGACGTTTTTATCAAGATAACTCGAGCTTCGGGGCAGCTACAGAGCTGGTCAGCACAGCTTATGGATTCAGAATGATCAGGCGCGTTCGCCTGTTGAACCCAGAGGTCTGAACTCGGTCTGCTAGCCGAGCTAGGTCCGCAAATCTATTCGTATTATTCGAGTCATCTTGACAGACGCTCTGAGTTTTCTGTATTTAACTCGAGCTACAGCACAGCTACAGAGCTGATGCGTACAGAATCCGATTCAGAATCATCAGTGGCCGTTGTCTTTTGAATCCAGAGCTTTGAACTCGGTCTGCTGCGTAATCTAGAATCGCAAAACTATTCGTATCGTTCGAGTCATCTTGAGAGATGCTGTCGGTTCTCTGCACTTAACTCGGGCTGTAGGGGGCTGCATGGCTGGTAATCACTGGAATCGATTCGGACACATCAGGCGCGTTCGCCTGCGGAATCCAGAGCTCCAAACTCTGTTCGCTCCACGAACTAGGTCCGCAAAACTATGCGTATTGTTCAAGTCATGTTGAGAGGTGCTGTCGGTTTCCTGCACTTAACTCGGGCTGTAGGGGGGCTGTACGGCTGGTAATCACAGGAATCGGTTCAGAGACATCAGACGCGTCCGCCTGTGGCATGCAGAGGTCTGATCTCGGTGTGATACTCGAGCTAGGTTTGCCAAACTATTCGTATTGTTCGAGTCATCTTGAGAGGTGCTGTCGATTTACGCGCGAAACTCGGCTGTAGGAGAGCCACATAGCTCGTACAGAAGGCAATCCAGAAGCATAGGAGGCGTTCGGCTGTTGCATCCGAGAGGTCTGAAATTGCTTGGGCTGATTTTTTTTTCAGTGTATTTACATTATATGTTGTTAGGAAGCTCTACGAGCCCCCCGGCGGTAAGAAAGGTTGACGGTTTACCGCCGGCGCCCAGTTAGCGGACCCGACCAAAAGAGAGGATGTGGTAACCCGGGGTCGGTAACTCGTAGAGCTGCCCTTAGCAAGTTATTGCTGGAAGCTTAAGAGTAATTCCGGCGCGCTGGAGAGCTAGTTGGCAAGAAAAATCTCGACAGACCTTTTGATGACTTGGTCGGTTGAAAATTTGGTTCTCGAAATTTGAACATTCGTTGGAGCTCTATTATTTTTCCCCGTGATATTTGATCTTATTCCCGCCGTCTCGATCTCATCTCGATCGGGTACCTATTACGGCCAAAAAGCAGGCAGGCGGGATCGCCCGTTTCGGGTCATCTTGTCACGCGGCGATGGTTTTCTCAAGATAACTCGAGCTCTACAGATCTGGTAAGCACAGCTAATTGATTCAGAATGATCAGGCGTGTTCGCCTGTTGAATCCAGAGGTCTGAACTCGGTCTGCTAGCCGAGCCAGGTCCGCAAATCTATTCGTATTATTCGATGCCCGAGCTAGGTTTGCCAAATTATTCGTATTGTTCGAGTCATCTTCAGAGGTGCTCTCGATTTACGCACGTAACTCGGGCTGCTGGAGAGCTACAGAGCTTGTGAGAAGACAATCCATAAGCATCGGGGGCGTTCGGCTGTTGCATCCCAGAGGTTTGCTATTGCTTGGGCTGAACAATTATTTCTTCTGTGTAATTTTTTCGACATTATATCTTGTCAGGAAGCTCTACGAGTCTCCCGGCGGTAAGAAAATCTCGGCTCAAGGCGCTTGACAGTTGATCCCCTCTGCCTGGGTAACCTCCAGTGGGATCGAGTGCGCGTCAGGGAGTCACACGTTTGTCGCCTAGAGTGATATTGCACTGCCATTTATTTGACACGTTTGATCGCCTTGAGTGGTCTTCAATTGATTTGTTTCACACGTTTGTCGCCTAGAGTGATATTGCGCTGCCATTCATTTGACACGTTTGATCGCCTTGAGTTGTCTTCAATTGATTTGTTTTGCTGGGTGCTTCCGAGGCAGTCTCAGCAATCTTTCGTTATGCCACACGTACGGAGTGCAAGTGCTCGCATTATGCGTCGGGCGCTGGCTGTTCAAAACGGATACTGTGTGCATTTACCTATTCGTTTGCCTCTGGATGGTTTGGTGCCACCTACGTGTCTCCCACCACCAGGGCTGGAGCGGGCGACTGCCGATTTGGTTCTAGATTATCTCTTGTTGCGCGATCCACCTGTTGTTAAACGCAGTTTGGAGGAGGAGGAGGAGGCTGACATTAAGACTGTTTCGGAGAATCTTTCTTGCCGTATGCAGGCTTCTGAATCGCTGGTTGATGTAGATATTGGAGTGCAGGCTTCTGAATCGCTGGTTGATGTTGGAGTGCAGACGGTTGATGTTGCGGACTTTCATTGTGAAGTCGGCTGTCAGACAGATAGTGTCGTTGGGATGGAGGGAGGAGCTTCAGGAGTTCTTCTTGGGAAAGTGACTGTGGCGGCGGAGGAGGAGCTGGAGGCACCCTCGAGTGCGGAGTCTTCTCCGAACGTGCAGTCTGATTCTGATAGCCGCGCCTTGTCAGGAGCGTCCCAGGGGTGTCTGAATCGCCCCGTCACGCTCAATGAGGTATCGAAGGAGTCGCGCCAGAGGACTCGAGGGAGAGATCGTGACAAGGTCAAGGGGACATCGACGTGCTCTCAGGCCACCATTGCCGATGTCAAAGCGTGGATTGACGCTGTTGCCAGCATCAACGAGTTGAATGCGATCCAGTATTTAAAGAACGGAATGGATTTGTTTGATAAGCTGGTGACAGAACGTGGGTTCCCTACAAAGAAGGCCCAAAAAGATTATGCTCGGAAACTGTATGAGATGCTCCAGAATGTGCAAGCGACGCTGGAGGATCTTCTAGGATTCTTCGAGGTGCACAGGTTCTTGACAGGACACCGCGCCGAGATGGCCAAGTTTCTTGAGGTTTCCAAGTGCAGCGATTACCGAATAATATTCTTCGGACGCCCGAGGAGTTTCGACAAGTTGGGATGAAGCTATTCGTGCGCACTTGTATGCAACTTTCGGTTTAGAACAGCGAAGGCTGTAATGCTTGTATCTCACCTGTTCTTGTTTTCCTCACTTTATCTCTCTGTTTGACCTCTCGCTGGAGCCATGATGGCTCTACGGCCCGCTGTGGGCCCCACTGAGCGCTTCAGGTGTGTAAAGGGCAGGAGCCCCTCATATTCTTTTGGTGACGTTCTTCCACGGGTTGTTTCCCCGTCTAATTCGTTGATTACTTCACATGTGACGTTGAGCATACGCCTCTTGTCATACGGCGGGTTGAACATGCGTATTTCGGACTGGTTTGACGTGAATAAGAGTTTGTGCTCACTCACGCCTTGCCTGTTTGGATGCGTCCGCTCCTTGCTCCGACTAGGCTGGAAAGCCTGCGCAGTCGACCGCAAAGTCCGCAAAAAAGAAAGGTTGACGGTTTACCGCCGGCGCCCAGTTTTTGTCTCTGTATGCAAAATTTTTAAATTCGTTTTGAGAACCAGTATTTTTCTCACGTGTAGTGGGTTGTGTCGCGTCTGCCAGTAAAATTCTCAGGTCCGTAGCTGCAGTATTACTATCACAGACTTGAGGGAACCGACTTTGGATGAAAACCAAAAAATCGTGTTTTTTTCGAATTTTTCTGCTCTTGCTTCAGAAGCTTCCTCATGTGTTAGGAGAAGCGCTGTGCAAGAAAGAAGCTCTACGAGGTGCCTGGCGGTAACCTGGTTGACGGTTTACCGCTGGTTCCCAGTTTCCTGTCGCCGAGGGTCTCTTCGCTCTCCGGGTTTTCGACGCTTTGAAGTTCCCGGAGAGCTCGCTGAGAGGTAAAGGGTTTAAGATTAGAAGCCGGGCGGTGGTGGTGCCCGCCAGCAGCCCATCTCCGCCGGTCCAGAATTCTCGCAGCAGCTCGTTCGACCCGGCAACGTGTCCGGAAGAGCTTCCGGCAAGCTTCCACGCGCGCCCGCACGCATGCAGGCACGCGTGGAAGCGTTTTCGGCAGCGCTCCGGAAGCGCTGCCGGGGAGCCCTACAAAGGGCGCCTCCGGGCAAAGTTTTGGAGGTATCTCCAATGAACAAGTCCTTCAGTAGGGGTGTCGACAAAAAAAACCTTACTCGTTCTCCTCTTCCCCAGGCGCCACCTTATCTCAACTATCCGACCCCGCGCTCACCCCTCGCGGCTACTTTGGAAGAGGAAGAAAAGAAAAGGAGCCGAGAGGAAAGGAAGAGGACAGAGGATAAGGATGATGATGGTGAGAGGGAGGGGGGAGAATAACGACAATAAGGTTCAAGGAAGGACTGGCAGGAAAAGGAGGGGGCGGACTGGAATCACCAAAGGAAATGCCCTTATGTAAGAAGCAGAAGATTGCGAGGACATCCAGAGCAATAGAACAGATAATAAAGTTTGGCAACAACAAAAATAGGATCACGTGTATGTCTGTTGCATTCGTGTGACATGAAGCGCTTTGCTCCTAGAGTGTAAGAATTTGTCGGGCCACGCGATTGTTGCCATCATTCACCCTCCTCCTCTTCCGCCTCCGCCGCATCAGCACCACGGACGTTTGACATCCCCATATTGTACGTACCTACCTTTCGCGTTTCATGCCTTCCGTGTTCTGGTTGTGCAGAGTTGGGCTTCACCAGCAGCGGCTGCGAATAGATGCCACCCGACACAAGCTGGAGCTTCCGCGTGCCCCATGGTTGTTGCAAATGCTAGAGGAAGAGACTGTCACGGCGGAGTGGCGCTTTGATCGGCAACCACCTCTGAGTTTCGAGGGTGCGGGGCTCATGAGCGTCAGCCGGGGAACAGAATGGGATGGGCCGTTGACGCCTTGGGGGAGGGGTGCTTTCTTGCTCATGGAGTATTGGCGATTCCCTGCTGATGCGTTCTCGCTGCGCGTCCAGGATTCTGGGGAGAGGTTGCGATCGCAAGTTTGTTGTTCCAGCCCCTCCCCGTTCACAGTTCTCAGATGCAGTTGGAAGGGATGGATTGAGGGAGGCAGGGAGGGGGAGGGCGGAGGAAGAGGAGTAGAGGGAGGCAGGAGAAGGAGGAGGAGAAGGAAGAGGAGGAGGAGGAGGGCAGAGAGTAGAGATGGGGCAAGACAGCACATTGACGGTCGCAACGGGCACCCCAGAGGATATCTTTGTATTCGACAATCTGATCGCTGTGTTCCACCATTGTGCCCGCAGCAGGGTCTTTAAACTCCAGTCCAGGCATTCCTGCTTCCAGCCCTGCGGTTTCAGCGAGCAATCGGTTGGTTCCAGGACTGGTGTTATGACAGCGCCAGGCGGTCAGAGGATCTCGTGCTCAGCGTCTGCAGCATTCGCATCTTTTTCAGCATCACCAATTGAACTAGACGAGATATTCGCCATCATGATTGTGCAGCCCGTCGCAGATTTGATTGCACGTAGGCGTTGGCGCGAAGTGCTGTGCCTTGACAGGTGGCGCGTGCCAGATGTCTTCCCAGGAGTTCCAAGTGCGAAGTTGAAGGCGAAATCAGGCACGGTTGTCAGCGCGTGCAGATCGCAACAGCCGCTTGACCTTCACTCCGTTGACGTCATGATTTCAGCTCTCCGTCGTTGGGCACCGAAGATTTTGGCAAGTGTTGAAGACGACGAGGAGCGATGCAGTGAACAGCTAGTTCTTGAGCAGTGTGCCCTTTGGCTGTTGCAATTCAGGAACAGGTTCTCACCGTTGCTGGAGCCCTCATCTGGAACGCTGTGTCGTGACCACGCCCCAATTCGGAACCAGAAGTTTTCTAGCAGCAGGCTTGTGGCATCAGTTCTGTTCGGCTGGCATTTGAGAGATAATGTCGGGCTAACAGCGCCCCTGACTCATGCATTTGACTTCGTCGTGCCAGGCTGGATTCCTGGGTCGTGCCTTTCAGATGGGTCGTACGCAACAATATCAAGATCCATTGTTCGTTCATCCCAGATCGCCGTGGACCTGGCCCTTATGCGAGTACGGAGCAAATCGTTGATGAATGAGCAATGCCCGGCAGCAAGGTTTGGTTGGGCAGATAGCAGTCCGATATCAAAAGACCGATTGGTTAATCTCAAAGCACCAAGTGGTTCCAGGCCATTGTCTTGTAGCAGCTTATAACGCATCGGTCCGCCTCGTCCCTGGGTACCCTGGATATGATGCGAATCCTGAACGACGAGCCGAATTGTGTACTGCACTATGGCATCATGTGAACGTGCTAACGCATCCTCCTGTCAGCCTGGGTACTGGGGCATCCAAAGTGGAACACAAAGTTGCAGCGTTGGCACATTCGTGGTTCTTGGAATGTGGCAGCATCGACGCATTTAATAAATTCTTATCTAGTTTCGTATCCTTCACAACTGACATGGGCACTGAGTTCGGAGCATCGACCTTTACGCACACAGGCTTGGAATCGCTGTTGCCACCCTGGATGGTTGCCTGTCGACTTCAGGGCGACGTAGATGGGGAGGCATGCCTAGACGCACACGATGACGCAGTTGGAAGACGAGCGTTTCTACCAAATGCATTGGTCGTTCCAGGGTCCCTCCATATAGTTAGCAACCTTTGCACTGACATCGCAGATACCTTGAGAGGGTGGGACGACTTTTTCGGAAAGCTGAAGTTGTTCGAGTTGCTGCTTTGCGATCGTGAGCGCAGGGACCGTTTCAGTCATTACTGCTTGGATCGGGATGATGATGAGGGTCGAGCGCTCTTCGGACATTTCAGTGGGACCTTGCACGAGAAACGATGGAACCACGCGATCGAATTCTTGTTGAAAATGGAACCGTTTTTGCCAAAACTGCGAGCCGCATGGAACCATTCCGTATACACTGGGCATGGGCAATATTCCGAAAGGGATGATAACGACGGGCGCCCAAAGTTCAACCCTGAGTTGCTCACCAATGTTTTGAAGGGTACGTTCTGGGATTCCTACCGGCGAATGGTTCTCGAGATCTTCTCGTCGATGCAGAATTTGACCGCTTGGCTGGCAGGATGCCCCTGTCACGAATGCATTTTGGTTCACAGGTCTTCTTACCAACAAAAGAAAGCGATGGAACGCGAGTTCGGCAAGGGGCGCGATTGTCCGATGAAGGGCAAGCGAGCTCCAGAACTTGCAGCAGGAGCCCTTCGTGACGTTGTGGAGGTTATTGGTCAGATGGGTCGTGAGAGTTTGGTGTCGCATATGAACGAGGTGGGGCTATCTGAGGACAGGCGCGGTCCAGTGTTTGATGATTTCGAGGCTGCACGCGCTTACATGTCACTGGGCTTGAACATGAAGCTGAATTTCTGGGAGAAGCTTCCCTGGCTACTCTGCGGGCTGGCTCACCATGACCTGAACCAGGCTCGAGATATTGGCAGGACAGCGCTTGATGCATCTGCGGACGCGCTGTCCAGAGGCGCCGAACACTTGCACCATCATCTCGCTCGGAGCTTCCTGAGCCCAACATCGGCAATGAGAGCACACGTAGAAGCATTCGTCGCCGGCGGCGAGATGCCGCCCGACCTCTTGCAGCAAGTTGCCCTTCTTAGGTTTGTGGCCGTAGTTGAGAGAAGCATCGAGGCAAAGCATGCCATTATTTCAAAAAGAACTGGGAAATCTTGGCGCACTGGGCGGGTTGTCAGTTTGGCATTGCGCGTTCCAGACATTAAGGCTGCTGCCACCAAAGACCCTGAGTTCATGACCAAGCTCATTGAAGCCTTCAGCGAGGTGCGCGCACCGTGGAATGCCGCAGGAATGTTCAGCATGCTTCAACATCCAGCCATGTGCAGAGCCGTGGTTAAGAAGGCGAGTTCAGCACAATTGAGTCATGTATTGAATAAGATTATCTACAGGTGCGATGCGGAATCTAAGTATTTCGACAGGGCTGAGCAACGAAAATCACATGAACGGGAAGCCCAGCGTATTGCGCGAGTTGAGAACACAGCTGCTCAACGTTGTCTTGACGGGCCGAGGCGCAGAGCTCCAGCTCTTACATGGGAGGTTGTGATGATGAACTGCATACACGATCATTTCCGATGCATGGCCTCACCTGGCGACGTTTTCTCACTGGAGTTCGCTGGGGCGGAATTCATGCAGAACCACTACGTAATGTACGTGCCATTCGTGATTGCACCGATGAGCCATATGCGAAACGCCACGCCATGCAAGCTCCAAGCCCTCAGGCCCTGGCAATCGACGTGGACGACAGCGGCGCGACAGAGGTATACC